GCTGTGTTTGTTTGTGTGTCATTGTGAAAATATAGTTTTTTAAACAGATCTAGTACTTTACCAGGTGTGCCTTTAAGTAATTTCTATTGCATTTATACTTTAGGAGGATTAGGAAAAAGAGTAAAAGAACTCTTTGTCCGTTAGATTCATTAAATGTATTCATGCGTGTGTAAGTGGTATAGAGGCTGTGCTACTCGGGAATCAGATCCTTGTCCTAGGGTGTAAAGAAAGGTGAAGGGTGTGATATTTACTGCTTGTGTAAGTGTCATAATAATTGTGTATTTGATTCTTTACTTTTAAATTACGTTCCTGGGCATTAAGCCAATTTTTTGTATTTATCTTCTCCCTGCAGAGTTAGGGAGGGTAAGGAACCACACCTTTGAAATGGTGAAAGTACAGCTGTTCAGGATGTGAATGTGTAATAGAACAGATAGGTCAGCAAAGGTGAAGACAGAAATAATACAAAAATTGGTCTAGAAGGAAGAAGACTTGCTACAAAAAATGTATTAAAATGTTGTTTAAACTAGTATTAATTTTCATTATCAGGTCATTAAAAACCCCAATGAATTTATTCAGAATAAAGTGTCACATTCTTACAGGAGAGTTACAAGAGTTAACATTACTAGCATTTGGGTTTGCACTTCTTAAATCATTCAGACTTCAAAGTGCTGCAGAAGTACTTCAAATCAACTAGTTAGTGCTTAGTTGAAATAATTACCACAGAATTCATTTAAACAAATATCTGTTAAAATAATACATTTCCTGTGCACCAAACCAACATGGGTTATGTAACGAAGCTCTCGACGTTAAAAGATGAAGCCTTGGCTCCAGTGCACCAAAGCATAAAGTCCTGTAAAAGTGTATCCATAGCTGGAAGAAAAGCACTGTTTTACCAACTTAAACCTATTTCAGTGAAAGTGAAACATTTTGCAGCTCAGTGGCAAGATCTCGCACTGATAGAAATAAGGTCCTGTTACTGCCCTCTGGTCAGGTTGCTAGAAAGAATCTTCCCTGAATAGAGGGGAGTGTTGAAGTTTGCATAGAAGGTCATTTGCCTGAAAATGAAAATTCCCAGGGCACTGTCTGCTTTGGCTTTGGGACAGGCCTGAATGCAGATCCATGTTATTCTACAGAATTCTGTGAGCTTGAATATTAGTAATTTTGCTGTCACTTGAGTTACGCTCTCTTAGCATCTGAACATTGTGTCCTTCCTCTGCCACCCTCCTCACTATGTAAATTAGGAACAGCTTAGAGCCTCCTTTTAAGGGAATTTAAGTTTACACTTCATTATAAAGTACTTACCTTAGCAAAATCACAAAATATATTTTAAAAATACATTCACCTCATCGGCTGGTGTCACCATGTGACGTGTGAGTGGACTCTTAGAATGCATGCCTGTGACTGGTAGAAAGTCAGATGTTGTAGGACTTGAAAATACAGAGAAACACTATGCTTTTAGCATTTGTTTAGGCCTTTAACAAACGCTGAATGTTTAATTTGGTGAATTTTGCAACCTTAATCAAGAAAGCATTGATTTCACCACATGGTTACCTATGTAATCTCATTGAGTTCAACAGCATCAAATCAGATTCGGTATACAAACGCATGCTTAAATTGTTTCCTATCTAATTGCCAACAATATACAAAAAATCTTTAAATAATAAAGGTGTAGGGGTTTTAGACAATGTAACTTACATAATGTGCAGGGCTGTTTTGCAAAGAGCACCATGCAATGACACCAGAGCAAAAGATTGTCAGCACTGAAGTGGACTCCAGACTTTATCCTAGTGGTAATGAAACAAGGTACAGATTTAAATATGAAGGTATTTTAATACTTTGCATTATGAAATAATCCACGCAAATTTATTTAAGTGAATAAAAATCATTAAAACATTACATTGGGACACACATTTGCAGGCTACAGCTCTTCCAGGGTCCTTTGATCTCTATGACATATCGTTCTTTGGTTTCTAATTCTATTCTAAAATACTGTAAGTAACAAAGCATCTTAGATCTTATATTCCATATATTTACAAGAGAAACGATTTCTTTTGGTAGGAGATGTGTTCACTAATAATGCTTCTATTCTTTGTAGTAAAGAACATGTTTACAAACCACAAATAACAAAGTAGAAGCTGCAGAAGGGTTATGGTGTGATAATTAAGTACAATGGCGACCCATATGAACAGAAAATGCCAAGGAGCTAAAACAAAGCAACAACAGCTTTGTTTGTTGACAGATGTAGGAGCCATATTGTTAGTTAATTGGGTAATGGTGTAAACATTTGCAAACTCTGCTGTCCCTCAGTGAATTAAGCAGCACACTGAAAGTATGGTGAAAAGCTGCACAGTCCTCTTTTGCTGCAGGTACTCCACAATACTTTTAGCTCACCTTCTAAGTGTGAAGACATTGAGGGAGGGACATCACACATTGTTATTATTTAAGGTACTTGAAGTTTGCACACCTTAGTATTTAGACTAGGATATGTATCTTGAATTACACTCAAGTGGATAATAGTTTTCCATATGTTTACAGTCTGGAAGATTGTGTTCATTGCCCAGGCTTGCTTTTCAGATTTTTTTTTTTTCCCATAATGTAAGAGACTTCTGTCTTTCCTAGCTTTTCCGGGGGGGGGGGAAGGTCTAATTAGATACTGACTTGAACTGAAAAGAAGGAAAATTGCTTCTCTCAGGTGCACGATACTTCATATGCTGTGAATTGCAGAGACCCTATTTACCTCGCTTTCTGTGCAGTAATGGACTGTAGCAGAATACCAAAACATTTGAAAATGCAACAAGATACTTAATTAGCATACTTCTGTAATCACAAACTTAAATGCACTACTTTGGCTGCTTTTTACTAACAGGTTTGCTTTCTAAGATAATAACCTTTCAATAATTTAAGCAGCATCTGTGCAAATAATTGGACTGTAGATAATGGGAATCTAAAATTGAGTCTGGTTTTTATAAATTATTTTCTCTTCAGACATTTAGCAATAGCTCACCATGGTACATGAAGTTTAAGAAAATATATTCCTCCTTTGGGAATCACAATAATGCATCTGTTTGGGGTTTTTTAATTTTGGGGTTTTTTTTAGAAAAAAATCTGTTGCAGCCAGAGAGGTGAAATTACATTGATTGACTTAGGAAGTGATAAGCTTTTAATATTTGTTTAAATAATGAATTTTCTATAATTATCCAATAAAACAATAGAAATACAAATATATTTTAAGTTTGCCTGATTTAGTTTGAGGAGGAGGCTGTTTTTGTTAATTGATAACAGGATTAGTAAGTTATGCTTTTAAGAAAAAAATACATTAGCGTTTCTTATTAATTCATAGTATTTGGTGTACTTACCAACGTTTTAAAAAAATAATTTTAGAAAGCAGTGGCATGATATGATCATAGGTAAAACAAATTTAACTTTAGAAAAAATGTTTATTGGTATGCATTTGCATTTATACCTATAGCATAAGACTAATAATCTATTATTCACAAGCAAACTTCTGATAACTAGTGTGCTCACACAGCAAAATAAACTCAAACAGAATTACTAGGGAAAATAAGTTTAAAAATGGAAGTGAAATATTTCAGAAAATTGTAAGATTAAAAGAAGTATGTTCATCATTCTATGTGAAGCTTTGCAGTGGTCTTCTGAAGGATGTCACAGCGTTGTCATGTAAACCTGAATGTCTGAAGGACACTAGGACCCTTGTCATCATTATTTGTCTATATACATAATTATATTCTGTAATATTTACAATTAAATTATATTTTCATAGAAGAGGTTTATCCTATAGGCAGCAGTCTAGCTTCTAAATAGAATCCTCAACACAAAAGTTTCTTGCTGACTATAAACTGAAAATTCCTTATGTGCCTTAAGTGAAAGTCAGTAATGGGATAGTCAGGATGTTGAGCAGCTTGCAGGGTTTGGTGCTAAGATCCAAATGCTGAACAATTTTGGCAATAATGGTGCAGACAGTGCGTGTATCGTTATTTTCCAAATGCATGGCATTTAACTCTCACTGGAATTCTCCTGTATGCCCACCTGCACAAGTGATTGCCGAAACACCTTTACAAATCGAACGAGGAGTCAGGATTCCAGGGAACAATCCTATAATACAAATGTACACACGTTAAGTGTCTACATAAATAATATACAGACACTTAGTCCTTGAAATGCATATATATATATATATATACACACATATAATAAGTATACGCTTCAATTGTTGGGTTGAGATGCAGTTTCACCACATGGTGAGCTGATTTAGCATCTCACTCCAAATGAAAGGAGGGTGGCTCTGCTTCCTCCCTTCCACTTACTGCTTAGCGCTTTTGCTGCTCACCTTGCACTGGATTTGGTGTTGACCAGACCTGTGTGTTCGCCGGTTAAGCTCACTAGCATGACAGAAAAATAATCAAACAAATAAAAGCGGACAGTTTTCTCACAGCCTAGGTTTCGTTGAGGTGGTTGATAAGCATCAAAGTGAGTGACAGTTAGGTGCTTCACCACGTGACTTGGAGCAAGAAAGAGATAGGAAAATAGAGGCAGAATAAGTTTCCCCTTTCAATGGAGAGATCACGTTGGATTGGCTATGCTGCTTGCAGCAGCAGTTTGATTGAAACTTTAAGATACTTATCTGGGACTACGGTTTTATTTTTCATCTTAACTTATGTGTTCTAGTAATCCTTCCAAAAGACCTTAACTTTGACAAAAACAGATATATTCATACATTGGTTTGTGGTAGAAAACCAGACCTTCTTGGAATTAACATTGTGGATTCTGTTTATTATTATTTTGTTTATTGTTATTACAAAATAATAACAGCACACAAAATGCAATATATATTTATTAATCTGCATCCTGGGAATTCATACTCACAACTTCAGTTATCACTGCCAGTGGCACTCAAAAATCTCCCCAGTGAAAATCTGCCCTGTGAGGATAAACAGTTCAAAAAAGTCAACTTACACGTCTTCTTGTTCTTATCTTCACAGGTGACCCAGCTGGATCCAAATAAATCATTACTGGAGGTAAAACTGTATCCTCAAGAAACCCTTTTCCTAGAGGCAAAAGAATAGATCAAACAAGATTGTAGGACTAATCATCCTTTGACAAGACGGAGGCACAGCATCGAAAGGAAGACTTCTATCAACGCCACCTAGTACTATCATCCAACTCAATTCTATGTCACAACTTTGCCTCTTGCAAGAATCCTGAAAAATTGAAAAAACATAGCTACTTAAAGTTTCACATATATATGTTTCCAACCTCATTTAAATGAGCAGAGGATAAAATTCTGCTATGAACACTGAACGTTATGACTCTGTTGCTCACTTATCATCCAGCTTTTGTTATAATTAATGCACTGTTAAAATGTGAGTGATTGTTAAGTAGAATTTTTACTCCTCAGATGCCCCCTTTTCACCAAGAAATCTTGGACATTTCTGCCTGTACTTTTGACACTAGAATGCTGTATATTTGATATCTCGCTGAGCCAGTGCTCTCATATATATGCATTTTATTTCTGTGTTTGAATTTCTTACTTTGTCAACTAATTTAAAAGGCAGAAAAAATTAACAGGACATTCTCAGCCATGGAAATTTAACAGTATTATAGTAGAAAGCATATAATTTTTGTTAGTACTTTCTGACTTCTTTGATAAGATGTAAGGTTTTGTTTGAAGAATATAGTTTGACATATATGCGAGATATTTATTTACTGGTTCTGCTTTGGGTCTCAGTTCTGATTCAGTTTAGGAAGTATTTTCCATTACATTGCAGTGTGTGAAACTGCTTATTGCATGATGTGAATATTTAAATAACATTAGAACTGGCCAGTACCAGAAATGTGGTATCTTGCCAACACTTCAGGAATCAGCTGATATTGAATATCAGCTGTTAAAAACCTTTTCAAATACCAGATACAAAAGTTCTTTATTTCTCATTGTGAAAGAAAGGGCAGTTCCCGTTTTAGCAGTTTTCCTTCATTCTGGCACTTGTTTGTATCCTATTACTCTGCTGTTTTAAAGCACCTTGTTTGTTTCATCAAACAATGAGTATCTTAAAAGGTGGTGTAATAAGAAATCTGCCTTATTATTGCACACTTTGGACATTTTAACAATAGATTACTGATCCCGTCTCAAATTAAAGAAATCCTACTTCTCTTGTCTGAAATGTATGCACTAGCTACCTGCTATCTGATGTGGAAAAACCTGGTACTTTAAATTTCCCAACCATACAATGAGCATACTGAGTCTAAGACCGTAACATTGACTCGATGCCAAACCTGCATCAAAACTGGTTTGGTTCATTTTTGTTTTCTTTTCTTTTTTTTTTTTTTTTTAATCTCTGGGCTTACAGGATAGTGCACGATAGCACTACAGAATCATCATCTGTTACTCAAACTTTTGATTTTTAAAGCCTGGCACATTGTTTTCCACATATGTATGTGTAATTCATAGTGTTTACCATAGCAAAATAAGTTCCGATTTGAAAAATTTATACTAAGCAAAAAACTATTGCACACATCTTTTAGTCTTTCTTTTTCCTTTGGAAAGATGGTGATATAAAATTAAATGTATGTCTATTATTAGGGTGTTAGTGAAGCTGATATATTGTTACCTTTACCAAAAATGCAAATTTCTGAGCAGGGAAAGCCTTATTCTACCTTTTGTAATTCTGTAATTAATGAGTGCTACATCAGACACTTTTAGAAGTGAAGTATCTATGACAAACAAAAGGTTTGGAAGTGTAAGCAAATTCTAATGATTTGCCGTTCACAAATAAAAGAATTCCTAGCCAACAGAAAGATAAATGTATGTGTAATGGAAAGCTGAATGCAGACACTTCATTCTGAACTTTTGTTTTCTTACAAAAAAAAATAATCACCATGTTTATTAAATAAGAAATTAAGTAGGTTGCAAATTGGGGTGATGCTGTTTCTACAAACAATCACAGTAACAGGTACAGCAGGATTTTAAAGTGATGCATATCTTTTTTTTTCAGATTAGCTCTTCCTTCTAAGCTGGCTATTAAGGAAACAATTGCTGAAATACTGCTACACAAAGCAAAGCGATCTTTCAGCTAACTTGTTTATATAAACCTGTTCTGTTTAACTTTTGTTTGATCTCATCAGGCTGTTACTTCTCACTCGACTTTATTTCTGTATTTTGACTATATATTCTTTACTTTGATACTAGTTTCATAAAGTTATTAAATGTGGCTTGAATATTTGTTGAACTTGTTGAAGTCAGTGCTCCCAGGGTTTGTTTGGCCTTTTTTTTCTAAACTCTTTTATTATTTTTTCCCCCTCATTTTGTTCATACTACAAAATACACTGTCATTGTCAAAATGTTCTAGTGATAATTAACTGGAAGTGTTCAAAGTGGTGGTATTACTGCCCTCTGATATAAAGATATCGAGATCAGTATACAGGGATCACTCTGCCACAACGTAAACAAGTGTATCGCTCTCTAAATAAAACATTTATCGTTTTGGTCCTTAAATACTTGGGGCCTGATTTCAAGAAGCAACCATCTAGAGTCATCTTTCCAAATTACACTCTCGGTGCAAACCAATCCCTGTGTAGAAGCATTAATATTCTATGCCATCATTTTCTGCTCTCCTAAACCCTGGTATTCACTTCATACACTCTGCTGACATGGTTAATCTTCTAGTCAGTCTACAGACTAATTTTGTAATTCAGTATTACCCTGAAACCGTAACACTTGCTACAGACCGTATCCCTGGTTCTACCTTTTTATCTTCAGGTTCTTCACATTAATGGATTATCATTAACGTGATTAATGCATTAGATTTAAGTCTTAAGGAATTACTGTTAATGAATGGAATCCTGTACGACGTGTCGGCTTTCATTGTTGGCCTTCAGAGCACTGCGGTGAAGGTGGGGTGCGCTCTGGCTTTTGAAGAAACTTCCTGCCTGTTGACGTTGGTGTTTGAAATCGTTATTAGAGAATATGCAGAACACAAGTGTTTGCTCTGTATTCTCTGCATAGGCACTCTCAGATTTAGTGAGAGTGCTGAGGGTGTTTCTAATGGAGCTATGTTGGGGGTTTTGTTTATTCTTTTTAATGTAGCAGAAAAGGACTTTGGCTTTCGTAAACTGTACCTACTCAGTGACATTAGAAACTTAAAATAAATTTTCAATTACAGTAATATTTCTACTAAAAAGTTACATGATTTCACTCTTCCGTATGTGGGGAAAAACAAAATCACCATGAACCAGATTGGCCAAAGGACTGAAGCACTTCATGATCCAAAGCCTCATGTCCACACTCCCCAAACAATGCACAGGAAGATGTAGGTGCCTTAAAATAGGGTCCACAAGAAGCAAAAAATACATAAGTAGGTCTCCAAACAAAGCAAAGCAAAAAACCCACATGTGAAGAGTCACTTCCAGGCAGAACCAGAAACTGGTTAGAGCGGTCAGTAGGAAACATTAAAGATGGAGATGTCTTGTGTATTCCATTCCTCACTGGAGCTACGGCTTCCTGCTCTCTGCTAGCCCAGGGCACCTCCCTGTACTCAGGGTTCACAGCACTGTCACAGCACTGAGACCATACATGAAGGTAAGCACCAAGTCCTCTCTTCCAATGTTTGACAAAGCACAGGATACCTTTTTATTTCAAAACAGCGATGGTGGCCACCTCCTGAGTCTCCTCTGCAGTTTTCACTGAATTTTACTTTACACCAAAGTTTTCCCTTATTGTGAGTCGTATGGGCCTGAGGAGAAGCAAGTCCCTATGTCAGACATTGCAGGCGACTACTTCACCACCACCGTAGTACAGGCTACTTTTAATGTGTGTGCTCTCTGCTGTCAAAGCCGTTTGACTGCCAAAATACAGAACTATTTAAGCTCACTGAAAGGGAAAGTGCAAGCAGGAGCGTCATCAGTCTTTGGGCTAGCAGATGGGGTGCTTGCCTGGGATGAGCTACCCAGTCCTTTCCAGTGACTGTTCATCACAGCCATTGGTCTTTTTGGACAAAGGACCTAGGAGGAGAGATGGAATATTGATTCTGACCCTAGTTAAAATTTTCTCACTCTACTTGTATAAAAGAGAAGGCAACAGCAGCAGCCTTAATTATACTTTTTTTCTGGACAGGTCATGAAAGAAATCAGAAATTACTGTATGTTGTACACAGCGTGACCCGTTGTTCACTACCGGAAACCACTTCCTCACAGATGGCAGAGATGGAGGAATACCAAATTAGTACTAAACATGTCAGGATCCAGGCAGTTTTATACTCAACTTAATCTGGTACAGATCTGCACTGCTGCCAGAAGAGGCACTTCTGCCCCCATCTTGCACTGGGACCAGGCAAACTAACCCAGTTGAAAACTAACCCTTTTGTTCCTGGAGTAGTTTTCATACTGACCCAGCTTGCTGAGTGGGTGTATGTACACCAGCACTGACAAAAGCAGGAGAAAGTGGAGTATGCAGGGGGTGAGGAATTGAAAATGAGAGAGAGAGGAAGGCAAGGCTGCTCCCTCTGACAGCAGTGCTGATTTACATGGGATTATATTGATCATGGTCCTTGAAATATTTTTTATAATGCCTTGTTATTATATTACCTTTACATTTTACATTCGTTTTTTATTTCAAGTAAATTAAACAAATGGTATAAAGGTTTTGCTGTCTGAAGTTTCCCTAAGTTTTGTGAAAGTCAGTAGCCCAGAATTCAAGAAATAGGAAGCCAGGCAGGAGGTACCTTGAGTGTGTGCAGTGAGGGCAAGGCTCGCTCTTGACCTGACACTTACTGGTCACTACAGACCTGAGAGAGCAGCCGGAGTACCCTACCTGCAGGAAAAAAGTTCCAACGGGATTTAATGTCTCATTAGATACCAGAGAATTCACTCCTTAGTCAGGGCTTTTCTCTGTGGATTCTTTTATGTGTAATAAAAACTGAAGTCACACTGCAGCCTTAGTATAATTCAATTAAAACGTCACTCAACTGCTGGTTATAGAAGTAGGCTTCATTAGTTCCTGCACTCACAAAACTGCTGGTTAACGTGATCATCATTTTGTACTTATTACCAATGAGTTTCATTTACTATTTTT